CCTTCTCCCTCATGCTTCCGCTCTGGCGGTCCTTCGCTCTCCCTGCCATGCCCTGCCCTATCGTGTGCCCTTTTGATTTGAAATTTTCTCCTCTGTAGCCATGCTATTAATTTTCTTTCATGATTTTCATGGGTGGCTCAGCTCGTGGGGAATCCCACACCCGCCCTCAGGCTGTGATTCATAGCTCTGGCTGGGGGTGGCATTCCCCGGGAGAGAAGCAACTTCCCTACAGAGATTCTTGTCATGGACACCTCCATAGAGCTCGGCTTCCTGCTGTCCACCGACTCAGAACAAATCACACCCCCAGTGAATAAGCTCGGTAGCCCATTGCCCCAGCACCTCAAGGCTTGCTGGGGAGAACTTCCTCTCTCCAGGCATCTCTTTCTCCCAGACCTTGGATAACTGCTCTGCTTGGGCCTTCCCACCTCAGAAGCCCCACGAATGGCACCTTTCCCAGCTACCCCCAGCACACCCCAGTGACCAAAGCCAGGCCCTTCATCTCTTGACATTTGAATGCCTCATACTCCCTGCTCAGTGACCACAACCCACTTCAGGCATCCAGAAAGTTGTCACCCAGCAACTCCATACTCTGGCAAGTTCTAGGTGCTGGGGCTTTTGCAACAGACAAGAGACAGGATTTGACACCCAAAGAAGAAAGGCGGGGCGGAGGGGGAACAGATACCTCAGATCATTAGTGAGAATGTGTCAGGCTGCAAAACCTCAGGGCAGTGGAGACAAAACAGGCCTCTATATCTGTGGCCACTTATGGATGTGAGGGACCGCACCTTCCAGGAGGTGAGAGTGGGCAATGCCAAGGCCTGACCTGCACATTCAGGAGGAAATGGCAAGAACAAAGGATGGATGAGGTGGCATGATTCCCATACCCACAGATGAGGCTGAGCCCAGAAAGGTTAAATCCCTGCATGGGGCCACACAGCAAATAGCAGAGCTGGATTCCAGGCCAGATGCAGTTGGCTCCACAGTCTCTTGTGCCCCACCTCCCAGCTTCCTCCTGAGCAAGAACAATAAATCCAGTGGGTACCTGTAACCAAGGGCACCTCCCTTTCTACTGGTTTGTCCTCTGTGATGCCGACTCGTGTTGCCTTGCTTGAAGATCCCCCTTCTCCTGGCCACTTACAACCTTTCCTTCTGGCCTTCTGGTCACCAAGAAGCCTTCTGAGCCCCGTTAGGATAAAACTATGCTTGCTCCCCCGGGCTTGCAATGCCTTTTGTTTATTCACTCATCAAACCCTTCTTGCAGACCTAACATGTGCCAGGCAATCTTGGACATCAGTCTGAAATTCCAGATACAAAATTTAGCACCACAAGAATATGCCCAGAGTAGGAAAGCAGAGCATGTCATGTCAGACTCCGATGACTGTCCCAAGCGAACATGGTGTCCTGGATTACCAGGCCACTTGTCAAGTTCTTTGATTTGATCTTTATCTCAGCATTGTCCCTATCCCCTCAGGATATTGTGTAACCCAGAGACAGCACACACTGGATTTTTACATCAGTAAAAGAATCCCCTCTTAGTGTATACCTACTATGCGCTAGGCTGTGTTCTGTGGGTTGGAAATACAGCAAGAACACAGTGAATAAAAATCTCTGCCTTCGTGAGATTTGGGTTCTGCTGGGAATAGAATGAAATCAAATGAATGATTTGCATCCCTAATTAATTAATTAGCATGCAGAGAAGAGAGAAAACGAGAGCGTGGAGTGGAGAGGTCTCAGAACATGGCAACCAGCTCCGTGACAGAGGCAGAGATCTCATCTTTCCCCTCCCCACACCTGCATATATACCTGCTCCTTCCTCATGCTCGCCCACCTCAGTGTGGGTCCCTGTGCTCACCTGACTCTCCCCAGATGCTCCTGACCGCCACACCCCCATCCAGAGTTCCCCTCCAAGTTATTTCTTCTGCTCTGACCTCTTCTCCAAGACTGCTGGGTACTTCCCATCATTGTGTCAGCGTCAACCATACATTGTTGTTCTGTTTCCTTGTAACTGTCCAGTCACCCCTTCTCACACATCCAAACCTTTCCCAGGCCATTTCCCCAGCCTGAATCTTCTCTCTTCTCAGTTCCCCACCTACCCCCATCTTGGCCTAACTACTTCTGACCCTGCTCTCTCTCTCTCTCTCTCTCTCTCTCTCTCTCTCTCTCTCTCTCT